GCATGTCCTGTTCTACAGATGATTTTTCTTTACTATTATTATTTCCCTATCATTATACTATATATAATATTATTACATATCAATATATTAATAATATATAATTAATATACAATGCTCTTACATAGTAATTATATATTATATTACTATTATCGATAGCTTTTGCCTACAAGAGGAATAGGTCTGCTGGTGAACATCTCTGTGGACGAGACAGCCAGGGAGTGGGCTCCACTAGAGATGTGGCAGCTACTGTATGTCACCTGGGTCTCTAACAGGTCATAAACTCAGTGCTGAGGGTTCGTTCAGACGCCCTCATGGAATTAGGAAACCAGACCAATTTTAGAGTTAGTCTCTAGTCATTATCTGGACTTCTCATGGTACAGCAAGTTACAAAATTTTATATGAAACTTGGAGTTCTTATCTTGTTTGAAGAAAGATCAGAAATCTGCTAACTGTGCTACTGTTTTCATGACCTTTCACACCAGTGTGGGGCTTGGATTGGAATGTTGAAGGAATGCACACAAACTGAAAAGCTTCTGTGAAGCAAAGGACATGGTCAACAAAACAAAACCACAGCCTACAGAATGGAAAAAGATCTTCACTAACCCCACATCAGACAGAGGTCTGATCTCCAAAATATACAAATAACTCAAGAAATTTGTCATCAAAAGAACAAATAATTCAAAAAAAAAAATGGAGTACAGACCTAAACAGAGAACTCTCAACAGAGGAATCTAAAATGGCTGAAAGACACTTAAGGACATGTTCAACATCCTTAGTCATCAGAGAAACACAAATCAAAACAACTCTGAGATTCTACCTTATACCTGTAAGAATGGCCAAGATCAAAAACACTGATGACAACTTATGCTGGAGAGGTTGTGGGGTAAAGGGAACACCCCTGCACTGCTGGTGGGAATATAAGCTGGTACAACTCCTTTGGATGTCAGTGTGGCGATTTCTCAGAAAATTAGGAAACAACCTTCCACAAGACCCAGTAATACCACTTTTGGGTATATATCCAAAGGATGCTGAATCATGCCACAAGGACATGTGCTCAGCTATGTTCATAGCAGCATTGTTTGTCATAGCCAGATCCTGGAAACAACCTAAATGCCCCTCGACTGAAGAATGGATAAGGAAAATGTAATACATTTACACAATTGAGTATACATAGCAGAAAAAAAAATAATGACATCTTAAATTTTGCAGGCAAATGGATGGATCTGAAAAATATTATTTTTAGTGAGGTAACCCAGACCCAGAAAGACAGTTATCACATGTACTCACTCATCGGTGGTTTCAAAACATAATGCAAAGAAAAACAGCCTACAAACTACAGTCCCAGAGAACTTAGACAACAATGAGTACACTAAGAGAGACTTACATAGATGTAATCTACAAGGGAAGTCGAAAAAGACAAGATCTCCTGAGTATATTGGGAGCATGGAAACCTTGGGGAGATGGTTGAAGAGGGAGGGGGAGGCAGGGAAAGGAGCAGAGAAAAATGTAGAGCTCAATAAAAATCAAGAAAAACCCAAAAAACCAAAAAACAACAAAAAATAAACAAAAAGAATAATCTGTAGGTTAGTAGGATAGTGTAATAATTACTAAATTCTGCCTTAGAGCTATAATCGGCCTAAACAGCCCAAGGACAGTACGATTACAGTAGAACCATATGTCTTTCCTAGGCAAAGAAATACATTTTCACTTGCCAAAAGTTTCTGTATCCATAGTTTCTCCCCACTGTCTTTCTTAGAAACCTGAGGAATATTAGAATAAAAGACTCTTAAAAATGTTCAGCCTAAGGTAATGTTATTTTTGATGGAAAGCAATATTTTTATAATCTGAATGAAAATAAATAGCCTAATTTATATATACAGCTCGAACTGAATGAAAGCAGGGCTCCGAATAACTGATACAAACACAAAGCAGGGTGCAAAGTGCGCGATTTTCTAACAAAGACTATGTCTTCCTTTAGTCTCCATTCTCTTAGTGTTCTTGTGTTATAAGGGGTAAGTGTTAATCAGTTGTACCATTACTTGTTGTGGGTAATCAGGTTGGGTATTGAGCAAAGAACCTCACAATATTTATTTACAAGGAAAGTAGGGAGAAGCCTAGCTCTATATAGGCTCAACTGTATTTTTGCCAAATGCTTTAACATTTGCATGAGCGAATGCTGATAGCAGTGTAGAAACTGGTTCTTGGATTACTGTGTTCACTCAGGGAAAGTGCCTCTGTTTCATCCTAAGTGGCTGCTTTGAACCTGGGTGGTGGTTTACACGATCCTTAGTGCCCTAGAGGATTGCTCACTGCAGAACACATGCAGCACATATAAATTTTAATGAATCATATTTTGGCTTGTGGCCTGAAGGGCTCTTCAGTTAGTACACAGAGAAGTGGAAAATAAGCATTTGGAACTCAGACAACAGAAACTCGAGTGTTTCCCCTGGAGAAAACCTGACCTATAGAACCCTTAAGTTGTTTTCCTTTTAAAAGGAAATAAAAAGAGGCATTTAACCTCAGGAAAAAAGTCCCTCCTTACTAGAAAGACTTTGTGTTCCCTGTTGACTTGAACAATGTAGTAAGCAGTAAATCTAGCTTTTTAAATTTATTGCTCTTGTTTACAGTTTCATACATGCACACCTTGCACACTGACCATTTTTACCTCCCACCTCCCCAGCATACAAGCAAATTTCTCTCCCATGCACATGTCTAATTTTTTATAACCCACTGAGACTAACCAGGTTATCTGGAGCTATCTGTTGGAGGCTGGTGGGTTGAACCAAGGCACAGAACTAAAGACAGTGATTCCTTCCCTCCTGGAATCTGCTGATGGCTCAGAGGTAAAGACAAAAAGCCTTCGGAGTCGTCCCTGTTTTTCTTGATTGACTGTTGATAGGGCTTGCCTTGTGTGTGCCCAGTGCAGCTAACTATCCATGTAGGTGAATGATGTCAGTAATTGTGTAATGGCTTTTTCCCCTATAGCTACTGCGACATGGATGTGGACTAGTATGATGGAATAGCACTTATTATAATTTATCCTTTCCTTCCGTTAGCATCAATGGGAACGGAAATCTAGTTAGCCAGAGAAATCTAGTGCCTTAAATGACAGATGATAATTAATATACTACCCATTTATTATAAAATAAACCACATAAATATTGGAAGCAACCTGAAACAAACAAAACCAAAAAACACACATAGTCTCACATAATCCTTCATTCATGCTTAATTTCTTTGGAGAGGATCCAGAAAGAAGTTAAACTTAACCAGACCCTGTGTCCTCTCAGGTCTGTGGTCTTAGAACAAACTGGAAGTAAAGTGTAGGAGGACCAAAGTGACAATAGTAGATTTCCTTCTCAGGCCCATGATCTCATGAGCTCTGGGAAGTTGTCTGGGCCCAGTACCAGGCATGATTTCTCTCCTGGTGAGTGGGCCTTTAAGTCCAGTCAGACAGCTGTTGGTTGGCACCAACACATGAGTGACACTTAATGCACCTTTACCTATATCTTGTCGTGTTGGTCATTGTCATGGTTCATAGGTGGAAAGATTGTAAGTGACAAATCAGAGAAAATCTGCTGTGAAGTCTCCTAGAAATGACTGCATCCTCAAGACTGGAAAAATGGCAGTATCAGTGGACATGTGAATGTGGAAGGTGGAAGAGTTCATGAAATTCCACTCCTAGCAAAGAACTAAAAGTAATGAATGATGGCTGAGAGAAGGAGCCCCCTTATTGACTGTCCAATAAGGACTGATCAACCCAGAAACTACATTCATGCAGATAACAGAATGCGGACTCAAAATGGTTATATTTGTATATTTGTGCATACACAAATGTACATACACATATACATATGTACACACATATATGCATATGTATATATACACATGTATATACATATATACATGCATACACACATACATACACATATATGTACATGCATACACATACACATGTGTATGTGTGTTTGTGTAACTATAATAGTCAAAGAAAAAGAGTCTATTAACTTGAGAGTTTGTTGGGGCATTGGAGGAGTTGAAGGGAGAAAAAGGTAGGGGAAAATTAGGCAATTCTATTTCAACTAAGAACATATTTAAAAAGCACAAAGAAGACCAGGGATTGGGACTGCAGTTTCTGTCTTCTTTAAACCTGAGGATTCTGAAGGTATTGGTTAAACATTTTGTTCTTTTTCCTGATCTGGTGATGAGTGTTTCATGAATATGCAACATTGTAAGGACAAGCTGCTGAACATCTGTCACTTCACAGATCAGGTCCTTTGAGAAATCTTAAAAGAAAGGGGGCTTTTACATGGACATTCTATGGGAAGGAGAGTGACTGATTTTTTTTTTCAGTTTGTAAGGCTGGGGGATTCGGGGTGCTCTTAGTGAAACTGAGGAAGTCCCAGGCAATTTGTGATGCCTTGATTATTATAACACACTGATTTCTCCTGGTTCTATCCAGATAGCTCATGTTATTGATGAGGAAATAACAATGACAATGAGTCAATCTTCAGAAAGGTATTTTAAATAAATGAATACTTTTTCAACAGATAATAAATGATGTTTATCCTTCTTTACACTATCTCTTCAATGTATAAAAAACTATGTTGACCTCCAAAAAATTGATATAGAAAAAAGTTGTTTCTTAAGCTAAATCTAATTCAAAATTTGGAGAAAGTGTAAACAAGTATCATTGTTAATGATAAATGCATGCCACACCGAAGAGACCAGCTCTCTAAAGGATGACCCATATGTGAAACATTTAACTATTTTCTCCCCAAATAAATACAATTAAATAAACAATGCCAAAGATGGAAGAGCCCATGCTTTTGAATGTTAAACAGAGGTAATTTATTCTAATGGGTCAGTACTATTGTAAACACAGATACCGCAACAAAGCTGAGCTTCCCTTAAGGATATGTTTCTAGATCAGCAGAAGGTCTGAGGCAGCTGTTGGGGGAAAGAGGGAAATTGTTGATGACTGTATTTCTGTATCTTACCGTGTTTGTTTCACTGAAGCCAGGCATTGCTGGTGGTGTCTCTTGATGGCAGAAATAGCAGAAGCATCTGGAATCCATGTGATCCAGGTGTACATGAAGAAGACCAACCAAACAGCCAGCACCATGTCTTCCAAAAGAAAGAAATGTAGATGGATGCCACCAATGCAGCTACTATTTCCTGTCCATGTGTCTTTCAGAAAAAAAAAAATTATCACGTCATGAAAATGAACAAAGGAGAAAAAAAGCAGATATTGTCTTCAATGTCGCCCATTGTTTCTGTAGATTAAGTTGATTAGCATGGCACACAGTCATGTGTCTGTCTACCTCATCAGTAATGTAAGGAAAATAAGGCAACACCTTTCGTCTGCTCTCTTTCCAGGGGAGCTTCTTTCTTAGCACGATGCTTGATTCCCCACTCAGTACTCTTTTAGCTGCCGTCCTCAGCAGACAAAGAAGCTAGGTTAGGCCCTAATCCTCTTAATCCAATGCAATATGATTCGAATATATGTAATGACTCTGTAAAATAATATGCTTAATGAGAGAAAGATGATTAATTTAATCTTAATTACACATTGTAAACAAGGCCTTTTCTTTTATCCTGATGTTTCATTTAATCTGGAATGAAATTCTTTCCTCTCCTTAAACACACGGCCCTTCCTCCACAGAGGAAAATAGTATTACTGTATTTTCAAGTAAACTATCACATTTTAAGATGGCTTATTCCCTTCATAACAAAAAGTAGTACACTTTAAGGGTAAATATAGTAACAAGAATGAAGTATTACTGTACTGGATAATGCACCAAACATTAACCTGTCACTATTAAATTAGAGTCCTGTGTTTTTCTAAAAGCAGGATGCCTACAGACAGAGAGTAGACATTCTGGCTTGTAGGAACTATTCCATGTATGTCTTAGGTAGGGTTTCCCATGCTGTAATGAAACATTGTGGCAAAAAAAAACTTGTGGAAGAAAGGATTTATTTCCTCTTACATCTCAGGCCTGAGTCCACCATTAAGGCAAGGAACTCAAGCAAAAACCTGGAGGTAGAAACTGGAGCAGAGCCAATGGAGAGATGCTGTTGACTGGTTTGCTCCTCATGGTTTGCTTGCTCAGTGTGTTTTATAATGTTTGCCAGGACCACTTGCCCAGGGCAGCACCATCCGCAATGGGTCAGATACTTCTTCTTCAATTATTAATCAAGAAAATGCCTCAAAGGCTTTCCTATAGGCCAATCTTACGGAGGTATTGTGGTTGCCTCCTCCAGATGAGTCAAGTTTGTATCAAGATGACAGAAGACTAGCCAATGCACTGTATGGATGTAAAATGCCACGGAATGGACATTCAGTGAAATTAACTTTCTATTACTAGAATATTATAAGATAGGCAGCACAGTGACAAAAACAGTGGGAGGAGATGTGCACATTGCTTCAGACAGATTTGTGAACGCAACATCTTGTATATATTGTTAGGAACCTAGTGCATTCATATATTTTAACTCAGACTGTGTGTTTTTTTAGCCCATGGATCAAAGCCTCTTGTGTTTTAGGTATGTTGTTATTGCTCTTCTTCTTTTCCTTTATCTTCTTCTTTTTCTCCTCTTCATCCATTCTCCTCCCTTGCAGAATCTGATGACTTTATTATTTATTTTCTTCTTTTTATTTTTAAAGATTTGTTTATTATGTATACAGTGTTCTGACTGCATGGATGTCTTCATGTCAGAAGAGGTCACCAGATCTTCATTATAAATGGTTGTGAGTCACCGTGTGGTTGCTGGGAATTGAACTCAGGACCTCTGGAAGAGCAGTCAGTGCTCTTAACCTCTGAGTCACCTTGCCAGCTCTGTTCTCCATTTTTTAATCTATTCTGTATAAATAGTGAACAAATAGTGAGTTCAGTATTTCCATAGAAGCCTTTTATTTTTCTTGCTCCCTTAAAAAATATCCTTAATCTCCCTCTTCTTCCCAATCCTCTATGGCTATTAAATATAACTATTTTGAAACACACAGACACACACAGGGTAAATATATGAAAATAGAGTAAAGGTAGGGTGTGCTAAGAAATGAGCTACTGAGCCTCAAATTGTTCTTAAAACAAACAAATTGACAGACAGACAGACAGACAGACAGACAAAAACCCTCAAACAAAAGATGTTCCTCGAAAACGTCCAGTTTGGGAAATTATTGCTTACAGGTAGAACCATGCTTTATCAAAATGCTATTGTTATAATTCTAAAGCTGTGTATCATGACTATTAAATTTTTAAGTTCATAGTGAAATGTGTGACCTGTTAAGACTCAGCAATGGAGAAGGAGCTCTCAGAGTACATGCTCCTGAGTAAATTGGGAACATGGGGACCTGGGGAGAGGGTTGAAGGGGAGGGGAGAAGCAGGGAGGGGAGCAGAGAAAAACGCAGAGCTTAATAAAATCAATAAAAAAAAGAAGAAAAAAAGTACATTTCACCCAAAGGAATGTTTTTCTTCGTTTGTTTGTTTTTGAGACAGGGTTTCTCTATAAAATAGCACTGGCTGTCCTGGAGCTCACTTTGTAGACCAGGCTGGCCTCAAAGGAATGACTCTTTAAATTAGAAACATCTGCACTCGAGAGCTCAGGGGACCTTCTCAGGACACCTGCTTTTCAGAAATGCCTGTCAGTTCAGATACCTTGTCATCACTTGCATCACACTCAGATGCCTGGGGTGTCCCCTTTATCATAAGGACAAATCAATGGCAAGAACTCATCTGAACTCTTTGTTGAGCCTTTTGTTTTTTTCATATCCTATACTTAAACTATTTAGTATATTTAATAAATATAATAATTATAACACTTCATAATTTTCTGTCATTAATTTTTAAGTCAGAAATGGTCTCCATAAAAATAAGAACAAGCCAGTGACTTAACATAGAAGCAGCTGGTTCATAAGCAGCCTTAGAGTTTTCATTCAATTACCAGAAAGCATCTGTCTCTTGACGCTGAGGGGGCTTGTGGATCTTATCCCTTTAGTGTTTTTTTTTTTTTCAGTAAGCATCTTAAGATTAAAAAAAAGCAGAAAACCACATCTGTCAAAATGAGAAACTGGTGATTACCAGGAAACAAAGAAAGGCGCTGCTCCTGGAGAAGCTGGTAATAGCTTCAGCTGGCCCTTGAGCTGTCCCCTGTATAAGTTGCCCTCATTCACTCTTCCTCCATTCCGATGATGTTTACCTGTTTCTTTGGCAAAGAATTAAGAGTGAACTCAGATAGAATGGCTGGGCCCTTACATTCTTCTTGAGTATGTAGCTCTCACTAGCCTACAATAGAAAAGAATAGTAAAGCCAAGCTCCGTTTAAAGTTGGATCAAATGTAATCACCACCACCAACAGCAACAACAATGACAATATTTCCAACGCTTCAGAAATTTTCAAGTGAGCTTCTTGAATGTCACATAGACAAATATATTGATCTGGAATTTGTAGTCATAAAATGTTGATTCAGAAGGATTTTTGGGGATAATTTGGTTCACTTCAGCTCTTTACTTCTTCTGTTTTCTTTTCTTTTTTAAATGCAGTCACCCCATGGAATTACTGAAGAACTTATTCCAGAAGCCTAAGGAGGCTAAAATACAAGGATTCTCAAGTCTTACACATGAGATGTATGTTCCTGCACGTAATCTGTTCACACCCCCAAGTATGCATGGATTCTTATTGTTCTTAATAATAAAAACCTGAAGTCAACTATCAGGGGGTGAAAGCTGAAGGATCAGAGAAGCAGAGCAGTCAGCTGGTAAAGTTCAGAGCAAAAGGGTGATTCTATCCTCAGACTGTATCTCAGGCTGACTGCTTCAGACTGCTGCTCAGACTGCGTTGCCTCCTGTCTCCTCCCACCTTATATTTCTCTCTCAACCTAGCCATATCACTCCTGTCTCCACCACCCTAGTTTTAGGATTAAAGGTGTATGATCCCAAATGTCAGGATAACCTTTGTGTGAGCTCGGTTTCTCTTTTAAATTGGATCAATTTTGTGTCGCCCAGGATGGCCTTGAACTCATAGAGATCTGTCTGCCCCTATCTCCTGTGTCCTGGGATTAAATGTATGTGCCACCCTCTCTAACCTCTAGTGCCTTAACTCTGCCCTCTGATCTTCAGGCAAGCTTTATTTGTTAGATTACAAACAAGATATCACTAAACCCCAAAACACATAAAGATTATTTAAAACATTTATTAGATTTATTAATTTTTTTCACATGTGAACATATGATCTCTCTCTCTCTCTCTCTCTCTCTCTCTCTCTCTCTCTCTCACCATGCGGAGATCAGAAGACAACTTTTGGGAGTCAGTTTTCTCTCTCTGACATGTGGGTCCTGGGAATCAAACTCAGCTCATCAAACTTGTCAACAGGTGCCCTTACCTACCGAGTCGTCTCCCTGATTCCTCCTGTATTCTTTAAATCCTCCCCAGATCACAAATAGTTCTAGTATAATGTAGATTCTGTGTAAATAATTGTCTCACTGTATGGAATGGGAGAGAATGGAAACAGGCTGTGTTTGCACCACACAGGACAATGTTTGGTGATAAATTTAGCTCTGTAGTTGTTTGAAACTATGTATATCTGACCTGGGTTTAGGGAAGCAACTGTACTCTGAAACTAGGACAACAGAGTGAGCAGTCAGTTCATCTGTCTGTGCTTTCAGTTTATGTCAGAAATTGTTAACAATTGGAAATATAATGGCATATCAGAAATATAATTGTCTATGACATGGCATTTTCCCTTTTCTGTAAAATGTTTCTCTCAACTAAGAGTTCTGTCTCTTAGTATATTGCTGTTCTCATGAAATATGGTTCTTCCACTCCCCTCTCACACCCTTGCTAGAATCAGCTGTGGCAAGAGCGGGAAACATAATCCTGTTTGTGGTACCAGTAAAGCCACTAGAGTGAGACATGCTAGTTAAGATGTAATTGCTTAATATTGCCACGAGATGGAAGCAAAGCACACATATTCCTACCTAAACCCCAGCGTTTTTCTTAAACTATCTTTTAAAAGAAAACCCACAAACTGAATAAAAATTAATTTGTGCTTGCCAACACAGGAGAGAAGGAAAGAGAAGATTAATGACAAATAGTCAAATGGTTTAAACAATAACCAAAACGGAGAAAATTATTGAAAAATAGTCAAATGGTTTAATCAACAATAG